TTGGAAGAAAGGTGTGAGGTTGGTTCCCTCAATAGGTGGTCCTTTGGTACGCCACGAGCAAAATCGCTAAAACGCCTAATGCCGCCAAGCAGTAATATGTGTGTGCAAGGATGATATGTCGCTAGATCGAAGGGCTGCACTCTTAATGGTAACGGCTCTAGCTCAAGCTCTGGCGCAAACTCCACCTCAAGGTTAGCCTCAATGTCCTTTACTACCCTGCCAGCCTCAGCAATTACTGGCTCTTCTACTTCGGCAACGGGTGGAAACACAGGTGGAACCTCGAGAGAAGCTCCATCATGAAGAATCTCACCCGCCATCTGGAAAATGGGTGAGAAGTAGATGAAAAATGAAGAAAAACAGAGGAAAGAGGGTAAACTTGGAAAAAGTCAACCGTAGAAGGGAGAACATGGGAGAAAAAGTCAACTCGAAAAAGTTAACGGAACCTGAGAGAAACTCGAGAGGAACAAGCCTAAAGTGGTGAAAATCTGAGAAAATGCAACGAAATTAAAATTTGATCTGTTCAAAATGTTGAGAATCAAGAGGATTTTACAAAAAAAGTTTGTGTAGGGCATTGGAAAATGCATGTAAAGCACGGATCTAGAGAGAGAAAGTACTTAGAGGGAGAGGGAGAGGGAGAGGATGTTTGAGCTTGGAGAAGTGAGAAAATGAAGTGTCTTGACCTATACTTAAAGACCCACGCGTTAAAAGACAGTTTTGTCCCGAATCTGCCACGGATGGCTAGCAAGGTTCTTTGGTGGCCGGCATGTGGCCGGCGACTTCTCCTGATGGCCGGCAGGTGACCAATGGCTCTCAGTTGGGTCCTGGTGCTATTTAGTGCTTTTACTTCTTGAATAGTGTATGGAAGGTTCTTTTTTGGGAGCTTACAGTTGCGTTCCAGTGTGTGAACATGTCCCACTTGCCACTATGAGCGAGGTGTATCCTTTTGAACATGTTGCGATTCCTCCAAGAGGTAAATTGGAGGTTGCCATTGAATATCGTTTTATTCATTTTGTCAAATTACGTTTTTGTCTACTTCCGTTGCATAGAATGTGCATTTCATATATGTATGCTGCATGCATGTCTTACAACGTTTTTTTTTTAGGTAAAACAGTAACCAGTGCCCGCCAATTTTACACCGATAGGCTCAACATTTTGAATTTGCAAAAAAGGCCCTTGATGGGCAAATAGGTAAGAATGGCAACCGGCTGGATTTTTTTTGCACTGTCCTCGTCTCCCTTTCCCACCTCAAGTAGGATAAATTTTCCTACCCTTCCTTGTGGGTATCCTCACCAAGTGGGGATTATTATGGGTGTGATTAATTGTTATTTACAAATTAAATTAAAATTAATCTTGGTAAAATAAATGTGTCTTACTAACAATTGCTCCAAGGTACAATAAGAAGATAAAAAATGAAAGATAACAAAACATTTTTACTAATTTCAAAACACTTTTCACGCATTTCATGTTTTTTTTAATATCTTTTCCCAAAGCAATTTTTATCACAGCTCCAATATTAAATGGTGTTTCACTGGCACTTATTAGCATTTGTCAAATAAATATTATAAATCAAATCCCTACATAGCAAATTATCACCAAACATAACAATACAATAATTTAAGTCTTAAAGTATAAAAATAAATATGTTACTCATAGCATATAGAATTTATATTATATAAAAATTTTATTAGACACTACAACAAAAACATACTTTAGTGGCACTACACTAGCGGCATATTTTTAGAAAATGCCACAAAAAATGATATTTAGTGGCACGTTTTTGAAAAATGCCACAAAACGACAAACATAAAAGGCTCTAGTGACATTTCAATGAACAAGTGTCACAAAACTACAACAAAAACATACTTTAGTGGCACTACAATAGTGGTATATTTTTAGAAAATGACACAAAAATGATATTTAGTGGCACGTTTTTGAAAAATACCACAAAACGACAAACATAAAAGGCTCTAGTGACATTTCAATGAACAAGTGTCACAAAACTACAACAAAAACATACTTTAGTGGCACTACAATAGTGGTATATTTTTAGAAAATGACACAAAAATGATATTTAGTGGCACGTTTTTGAAAAATACCACAAAACGACAAACATAAAAGGCTCTAGTGACATTTCAATGAACAAGTGTCACAAAACTACAACAAAAACATACTTTAGTGGCACTACAATAGTGGTATATTTTTAGAAAATGACACAAAAATGATATTTAGTGGCACGTTTTTGAAAAATACCACAAAACGACAAACATAAAAGGCTCTAGTGACATTTCAATGAACAAGTGTCACAAAACTACAACAAAAACATACTTTAGTGGCACTACAATAGTGGTATATTTTTAGAAAATGACACAAAAATGATATTTAGTGGCACGTTTTTGAAAAATACCACAAAACGACAAACATAAAAGGCTCTAGTGACATTTCAATGAACAAGTGTCACAAAACTACAACAAAAACATACTTTAGTGGCACTACAATAGTGGTATATTTTTAGAAAATGACACAAAAATGATATTTAGTGGCACGTTTTTGAAAAATACCACAAAACGACAAACATAAAAGGCTCTAGTGACATTTCAATGAACAAGTGTCACAAAACTACAACAAAAACATACTTTAGTGGCACTACAATAGTGGTATATTTTTAGAAAATGACACAAAAATGATATTTAGTGGCACGTTTTTGAAAAATTTTCAGCGACCAAAACAACATTAGTTGCCAAAAGTAAAGCTTTTTGGCGACTAAACAATTTTAGTAGCCAAAAGTCTACAATTGGCGACTAAAATTAAGTTTGGTCGCTGACTAAAATTAAGTTTGGTCGCTGATTATATGAGTTTTAGTGACTACAAAATTTTTAGTAGCCCAAAGTAAAGCTTTTTGGTGACTAAAAAAATTTAGTAGCCAAAAGTCTATAATTGGCGACTAAAAATAAGTTTGGTCGCTGATTATATGGGTTTTACCGACTAAAAAAATTTTAGTAGCCAAAAGTAAAGCTTTTTGGTGCCAAAAAAAATTTCAGTAGCCAAAAGTCTACAATTGGTGACTAAAAAATAAGTTTAGTCGCCAAAAGTAGCCATTTTTGGTGCGAGAGAACTAAAATCCTAAGGCGGAAATAAAATTTTTTGGTGACCAAAATTTTGGTAGCTGAAAGTGCATCTTCGACGACCAAATCCGATTTTGGTTGACAAAAGTTAAGTTTTTTAACAACTAAAAAGTAATTAGTAGCCAAAAGTATAGAATTGGCGATGCCAAAAGTGGTCTTTTTTTTTATTTTGGTAGTAAATAGTTTATTTTACATAAATTATGTTATATAAAATAATTATGTTTATACATATACTTTTATATTAATATGGATGTATGTACTATATAAATAATATATGTTGCATATATAATCATGTGGTGCTATAGAGGTGTAGTGGGAAGAGTGTGGTGTATAAGGTTTATGGTGCGGAAGGTTGGCGGTTCGAGTCTCCGCAAGAGCGGATCAAATTGTTCTACAACGAATTATCGTCATGAATGACACTTGATAGCGTCACGAATAGTGCCTACCGTGACATTAAAGTGTCACTGAAAGGTTTTAGTCTTGATGGTGTAATGACACTTACAAGTGTCACTAACTCTTTTTTTAATGGCGCTTGATAGTGCCACAAATAATATCTACCGTGACATTAAAATGTCATTGAAAGTTTTCAGCCATGATGGTGCAGCGGCACTTGCAAGTATCTATCGTGGCACCGATAGAAGTGGCACTTGTTCAAAATGCCACAAGACCAAAAAATGTCATTAGAAGAATAGTTTTGTGGCACTTTCAAATGTCACTAAACTAAGAAAATATTGTAGTGAGATTCGAGTTGAGGAAACTAATACTAATCCCTGGTCATGAATCTTTATTAGGTAAGGAAAATTTCTTATATTTCATGTTATGGTGTAGACGCATAGACACGGATGGACCAAAATATGTACGTCTTATGCCTAAATATTGCTAAACTTATCCAAATACCTATCATAATCTCACAAACACACACATTAAAAATAAAAAAAATACTAGACAAGCAATGGAGAAAAACCATGCTTGATTAAGAGCTCGAAAAGACTAGCATTGGACAAAAGAAAGGAGCGTGTGTGTCACAAGATTAGGCCTCCCTTTTTGTGTAATTGAATTTGCTTGGTACTCCTTTTTTGAATTTCAACAGTCTTATCTATCAAACACTACAAAAAAATTCGTTTTTGGCGACGGTAAAAGGCCGTCGCAAATGCCCCGGAAGCCGTCGCTAATACTTTTTGCGACGGTAATGTGGCTTTTTGCGACGGTAATGGGGGGTCGCAACAACGGGGGTTGCAAAAGAGCTTTCGCGACGGTAAGTACCGTCGCCATTAGTTTCTGCGACGGTAAGGTGTGTTTTTTGCGACAGCACTTTTCCTGTCGCCAATAATGGAAAAAAAATCCAGTTTTCGCGACGGCACGTAATTCCCGTCGCTAAAAGTGAGTTTTTGAGACGGCAACATTACCGTCGCTAAAACTCTGGCATCGTATAACTATTGGCGACGACAACAGTTACCGTCGCTAAAGGTATCTTCAAAATTTCAATTGGACAGCTTTTGCGACTGCTTTGGGACCGTCGCAAAAGCCTATTGTTGTTTTTTGCGACGGGTTCTTCTCCCGTCTCAAAAAACAAAAAAAAAAAACAAAAAAACGTGCTGAAAAATTATTAAAAAAATTAAAATAACGAAAACAAAAATTGACAAATAATGAAAATTAATAATATTGTTCCATTCATAGCAATACATAAATAAAAATTCATAACAATAAAAATTATGCCACTACATAACGTCGCATAATACATACATAATGTTGCTCACAAATTTAAATAACATAAATCAAAATCAAAACCAAAAGTTTTCGTCTTCATTCGTTCGTGGGTTACAAAAACAAAAATTGGTCATAATCTTGATACGACCGCATTCCAGAAGAAGCCAACTGCTACTCAGGAAATATCTGAAAAAAACAAGATAAAAATAATTAAAAACCATATAATGGTGTTAATATTTTAATTATAGAAAAATATAAAAAAAAAATTGACCTGAATTTCTTCCACGGTATTCAGCACCTGCAACCAACCATGTTCACATGCATTGGACGCCTTGAGAATTAAACCCCCCCCCCAAAAAAAAGAAAGAAGAAGAGGATCCACCCTACATTGAACTAGAGTTTTATCTTGAACACTACTGAAAGCAATACAAGTAACTCTAATTGACCAATTACTAATCTTGTTGAACCATAATAACTTAGTTAAATTTTAAAGCGAAAATGCTACTTGCTGGACAACCTAAAGATTGTTATCTTGAACAATATTGAGAAAAATATAGGCAACTCTGAAAAAGAAAAAAATGAAAATAACAAGAGAGAGACATTAGGGAAAAAGAAAAGAAGTTACACATGAATAGTTAAATGCTGTAGTTGAGTGCATTTCTGTGTGTGCATGTGTATGCAATAGTATGCATGTATGCTTGTGTCTGTGACTGTAGTATAAATTTTTAGCATCCATCTGAGACTGATGTTCAAGGGTATATCGAGATTTTTTGAACGATAGTGACTTCAAGAACTCATATAGATGCATGGAAAACAGAAGTAAATTAGTTTTAGCTCCTAAAAGATCCCAAAACACAGATTATTAGCCAAATGTATTATAGAAAGTTCCAATAAGGGTAATACTAGAACAGATTCTTGTATCAGATGAAGTCAAAAACTATTCCCAGATACCTATTTAATTGATATCCAAAATTTTACTTCCTCTAACATCAAGAAAACGAGACCCAAGGCTATATGGCACCGTGTTCTTATTTCACTCCATACGTCATCAACCAGAAAACAAATAATTTTAGGAATCTACAGGTCCCAACCCAAACCTTTTGTAAATAGAAGACCAACTTCCATTAATCTCACTCCATGGGCAAAATTCAGAATCTTATTCAAGTATTAAACACACAAGACACAACTCAACAGTCAACCAGACATTGAAGGAGGATCAAATTAAGTTGAAATTATGTGTAGCCGGATGTATTAGACAAAACGCATACATAAAAAGATAATTAAACTAGTGACTAGCTACAATTTAGTTCACGAGACTTGTTCACAACCAGAAACACATGTAGTATGGGAAATATGGTATAAGTAGAAAAGGTAGTACCTGCCCTCTTCCCATTTCTTGAATAGCGTTCTGGAATATTTGTTCACTGTTACCGGTTTCTATCAGGTGGTCGATTGTCTGATACAGTCAAAAAAAATTTCAGTTAGGATAACATCCATAGTTCCATTTCACCACTACAGCCCAAATATTGATCTCATTATTTTGGCTCACCTCTTCATCTGGTCTGGTTCCTGTGACTGCTCAGTCATCTCAAAATTAAAACACAAAGTGAAACATAGCCAATAAAAACAAGATCAGCCAGCAACACGCAAAATGAATACGAAAGACATCATTCCAACTTCAAATTTTAACCGTAATTTTTGTTTATATGCAGACAGCAATATTCAGACCTGTTATGAGCCTTCGCTCCACGACCTCACGGTATTCATCTTGGATCCTTTGTCTCAGAGTCTAATCAACGAAATTCAGTTAGTGAATGAAAAGAAAGCAACTACCAAAATGAATATATATCCAAATATACCTGGAATTCAATCACTAGGTCCCTGAACTTTTTTGTCAACGCACTGCATTTCAAGAAAATAATTAAATATGATTCTAAAACAACAAATGTGCAATAATCTGAAATTCATATGCTGCAGAAGAAACACACTTTGTCATATTTGTCCTTGATCGATCAACACCTGTTCCCTTTCCACATCCAGGTTTCTGTCGATTGGCTGAGTTCTAAAGAGAAAGAAGAGGGAATCAGTACACACTGCCATACCAGGCTAACTACCATCAGATAACATTTTGATAGACATAAAAATAAAGGAATTAAGAAATACATCTTTGCTTATTGCTTCTAATTTTGTTTTGACATTTCGTGCAATCTTTCCCACTTCATCAACATCTTTCTCCATTCGCTTTTTGATTGCTGAAAATGAGAAATCAGATCAGATTGTTGCAGACGAAGAACTACAGCAAATATGAGCAGTTAGCTAACTAAACCTAAAATTTTGTCAACCAGTTGCTGAAAAGGATAAAAAATTTTCAACCAGTTGCTGACTAGGCCAATATCACTACATAACTAGCTAAGATAATCTAAACTGCATTACTCAGCATGCCATTGATGCACAGAGAATGTGGCAATGAGATACAAGTGCGTGATAATCACCTTGCAACTAAAACATTTCAGCATAAGACTGAAAGAAATAAAACAAGGATTTGACCTTTCATGGATGAAGCTTTTGTAACGGACTTTGACTCCTCATTAGCATCCTGTAGGAAAGGGCTCACATTTTGAGTTTCTAAAGTTAAATTAAAGTATGATTTCCAGAAAGAGAAAAACTAATATTGCATCATTTGGTTCATGCAAAAGCACGAATAAGCATATAACCCATGCTTAGAGAACTTAGGCCATGTTTGTTTGGGTAGACATGAGCTTGGGATTGGACCAATAGTCTAATAAAATTATTAATTCGATGTTTGGTTAAACAATTGAAGTACGGACTAATTATTTTAAACTTGACTATTAGTTAAGATAGGATACATAACCCAACGGATTCGTAATCCCAAGACTATTAGTCATGGGAATGCTAATCCAGTCCGCCCAAACAAACATGGCCTTAATTTTCTTAAAATCCAGTTGTACACAAAATTAGGTACTTGTACTACAACTGCTACGGTATGAATGATAACAAATGCGGAAATCAAGATCAGCAAGGTTTAAGAGAATTGAAGGTCTTCTTTTTGTTTGTTAAGAAGAGAGATAATGAAGATCTTATTCTTGATTCATGCAACACTACAACAACAATAAGACAAAACACCAGTAAAGTAAGGAAGAGTTTCACTGACGTATGAACCAGAAAGCTACAATAAACAGCATATCTACAGGTCTCCTAGTCCCTGCAGGATAACAATAGCTCTTGCTTCTGCTTGCTTCTAGTTTTTCTTCTTCTTTTTTTTTTTTTTCATATTGCTTTCGTACCCAAAATGATAATAATAATAATAATAATAATAATAATAATAATAATAATAATAATAATAATAATAATAATAATAATAATAATAATAATAATAATAATAATAATAATAATAATAATAATAATAATAATAATAATAATAATAATAATAATAATAATAATAATAATAATAATAATAATAATAATAATAATAATAATAATAATAATAATAATAATAATAATAATAATAATAATAATAATAATAATAATAATAATAATAATAATAATAATAATAATAATAATAATAATAATAATAATAATAATAATAATAATAATAATAATAATAATAATAATAATAATAATAATAATAATAATAATAATAATAATAATAATAATAATAATAATAAAAGGGGAAACTCATATCCCACTTTATAATCGATTTTTGAGATACAAAAAAATTGAAGTAATAATTCTATGAATAAAGCATCAAATAATGAACTGTAAAGGCAGATTAAAGCTTATGGAAATTAATGCATCCAAAACAATAAACATGGGTTTTCAAGGAATAAAGCTACAGATGAGAGGTTAAAAGAGATTCGATACATATCACCAGCAGAAAATAACCAGGAAGAAATAGATTCCCCTTAAGCTCATTATTAAACTTGGATTACAAAATGAGAAAAGGGAGGATGAAAACCAATAAAGCTTTCTATGTTTTGTTTTTGTTCGATAAAATTCCTTGAAAACCTCAACACATTTCACCAAGAGAGAGAAAGGGAGGAAGTTAGATACGATAATCCCTCTCTTGATAATAATAATTGTGACATCACCCCTTCTTGGTATCAAAGGAGGCACCTCAAGTTTCATCAACTTGGTAAACTGCACCCAAAAAAACATGGAAAAAGGCCTTTAGCATCGCTTGGTATTTCCAAAAAGCATTTTTGATGATGCAAAGTGATATGCCCTCAATATAGTACTATACAATCCATATTTAAACAAACATAGAAAATAGATAAATAAAATGGCAATTCTACAAGCATGTTTTTAAGCATTAAGACAAGTGCATTTTGACACAAATGGGTGTAGCCCCACACATCCACATATATGCATCCAAACAAAGACATTCACAAACCTGAGATGTCTTCAGCTCCAGTTCCTCCCATTCTAAAGATGAATTACTTCCTTCAACTATACCAGTTCCAGCATAAATTAATGCAACAAGTCCCTATCCAAATTGGTCAGCACACATTACTTTGGGAATGACATCACTACGAAATCACGGACAGTTATAGAGATTTTTGAAATGAAAGTACATCCATATACAAAAATAACCCCATTGCTGTTACTGTCAGTGAAAACCATTTCAATAGTTCTTTTGGTATATAGCTTGACAGAGAAAAAAGAAAAAGAAAGGCAGAAACTACATTTTTAGTGTACTGTCAAAAGTTGAAGTTTTGATGACAAATAATATAGATTTCAGCGAAAGATGTAGCAGTAAGTGGCTCACCCTTCCCACCAAGGCTGACCTTATTCCAACAACAAACTCACTTTCTCCTCCTCCAAACCAACCAACCAACCAGGCCAGCATACATTCCTCGGTCAAACATTTCTGTACAACATAATTAATATATACTTCACTTACATAGGTTAATTCCTACATTTTACAGATCTTGAGTGAACTTAGCGAATCCAAGTCAGAAAACCCTTACCTTGAGCCCTAGATCGATTTAGATCAGAAGGATTCGAACAATCCCGAAGATATACGCTCAAGTAAAGAGGAAGAACAAGCTTTTCTAGCTCAAGTAACTTCGCATCTCCACCAAGAAAGACAGACACTTACAGATCATACATAAAAATCGATTTTACATAAAAAAAAAAAACCTTTATCCAAACCCGATCTACCATGAAATTTACAGATTTATAAAAGCATAAACCTTTTCTCATACCTGATCTACCACGTATCTAATTTCAACCAGATCTAGCAAAAAACAGAACCAAAAAAAAGAAGAAAAAAAATTATGAAATTAGAGATCTAGAGAACAGATTTGATACCTTAAGGGCCTAAGGAGCAACCTCCCAACCCAAACGTGGTCTCTTTCTGGGACGACGATCCATGTGCGCGTGTGGAAACTCGATCACACGTTCCATCTCCATGATCGAACACAGATAGATCCAAACAGAGTTTAGAGTGAGAGAGAGATTTGCAGAGAGATCGAAGAGAGAAGAAGAGAATCGAAGAATGATAATGATCTGATCTGAGATGAAGAACAGATCGAGTTCGAGTTCGAGTTCGATGAAGAACAGCTAGAGCAAAGCCCTAGAGCGACAGAGATCGATGTTTGACCAAGGAATGTAGATCGATGTTCGATTGCGAGAGAGATGAGCGGTGTGTGAGAGAGTGAGAGGGAGTGAGATCTGTGAGAGTGAGATATGAGAGTAAGAATGAGAGAGACAGACCATGACGGAGATACGAGCGTGAGAGAGTGAGATCTGTTAAGTGACTTTCTTTCTTTTTCCTTTTTTTATGTAAAACACGAAAAACACAAAAAAAAAAAATGGCGTTTTTTTTAAACGATGTTGTATAAACGTTGTTGTATGTCAATTTTCTTGTAGTGAATGTCGCGATTCACAATTGGAAACTCTACCTTGCGAGTGGGAGGATTGCGACTTGAAGACACTGAGAGAGAATGGGGGAGAGGCAAAAATCGAGGCCAGCGTCAGGAGCGAGCGCAAGAGGGAGGGTAGGAAAGAAGAACAGAGAGGGGGAGAGAGTCAGAGAGGGAATGAGAGGAGACGAGTTAAACCAAATTACCCCAATCTGGGTTCGATTGATGCATCAACAGTGTGTGAAGTAGAAAATTACCCCAATCTAGAATTTTTTTTTTTTTCTGAAATTCAATTCCCGCCCCACGTTTCAAATTTCCCCCCAAATTTTTGGCGACCAAACTCTCAAATTAGTCGCAAAAATAGGTTCTTTTGCCGACAAATTTTTTTAGTCACCAAATCTCAATCAACGGCGACTAAAATATTAGTCGCTAAAAGTACTAATTTGGCGACTAATTTTTTTTGGTTGCTGAAAATAAGTTTTTCGCGACCAAATTTTTGGTCGCCAAAAAATATGTGACCTTCCGCGACCAAATTTGTAATTGGTCGGCAAAAGTATACCACTTTCTGCGACCAACATATTTTTTGGTTGCCAAAATATAACCTTCTGCGACCAATAATATTTAGTCGCCAAAAATAATGATCATTCGCGACTAATTAATATTTGGTCGCCAAATGTCATTTTTTTGCGACCAAAATTTTTTTAGTCGGTAAAAGTGGTCGGCAAATGTGTAATTTCTTATAGTGTAGAAAGCTCAGCTCAACGTACAAGGCTCGCTCCGAAGCGAGCCAAGCAACAAGTTGTACCTCTGGGTTGGACAACCACTCCGAAGAGATAAAAAAAACTCTACTCCTCTCCCTCTGTCTGAACGGAATGTAGAGACATGGAGGTGTAGTGGAACAAGGCACACACACGATAGACCTACACCTAAGTGTCAGGCAAAGTGGTTGTCCTCCTCCAATGGGAAACGATCACAAATGAAACAAATAGGACAAACCTGCACCTGTGTGTCAGGTGGAGTGGTCGTCCTTCTTCAATGGGAGACGACCACAAACAAGGCAAATAGGATAGATAGTAGAGAGAGAAGGTCTTGGAGGACAAGTAACCTTCACCCTCAAGGCATTCAAAATTCAACCACTCAACATATACACTCTTTGCATTCTCTCTTCTTCTTCTCCCCTAGTCCCTGTCTTTACCATCGGAGGGGTTTCCGACCAAACCCTGATCGGGAAGTCTCACCATTTGTTACTCTGTGCAAATCTTCCTTTCTCGGAGCACATAGTTCTTCCACGAAGTTCTACCCTTGATCATAGTGTGGAAATTACCCCCACACAACACCTAAATTTCCTGATAGGCAACATGTCTTGTATATTTTTTTATCACAGGTTCAACTTCTGTGGATTTTAATCATACAGGAAGGTTCAACTTTAAGAGTTGATTTGTCTGATATTTCACATGGTCCCTAACATCTTCAAAAACAACCATCCATTAAAAAATCGCCAATCTCCACCAAAGCTAGGGTATAACCAAGTGCAAGTATGGTGCTAGATGAGCTTTAGAATAGTCGCTTGAACACCCTGAAATGGATATATATATGTATATAATTTTTTTTTGCTGCATATGTTATATTTTAAGAGGGCTGCTATTAATACCTGCCTTTATTCTTTGGACCCTCCAATTTTAACTTCTTTTATTTATTTTTATTTTTTTATTACAATTATAATCTGAAGTAAAATTACAATAAAAGACAATCTCTAATGGAACACTCACCCACCAAATGATGACAATTAGAAGAAAAATGCTAGAGACCCCAACTAAACTAACAAAGTTTTTCACCAAACACACATATGGGTATGAGACACACTCATGTGAGTGTTTGGTAAAAATTCTGATAATTTTGTTGGGGTTCTTGGCATTGCTCAAATTAAAATCTCACTCTACAACATTGTACACCCACATCCACTCCTACCGAACCATTCGACAGAGACCATCCACTAATCAAAACCCAAAATAGTATTCATCTTCTCATCACCACTCCAAACCCTAAACTAGAATTCACTGTCACCGTACGCTGAAGTCATTGGTTAAAATCATTGTCACCATTCGTTGATTTTGCCATTCGTTGATATAAGAAATCAACAGTTTAAATGAGTTCGAAAATGAAGGACAATGACATTAACTTGGACATGGTTGGCATTGCATTGGTAAGTTTATATATCTTCTGGATCTTTGAATTAATGATTCTTTGTCGTGTTAGATTGTTGTTCTGTTGTTAGAGGTTGTTCGGTCCTGGTTTCTCGATCGGTAAGGTTTTGTTCAGTAACACAGTGCTTAACAAAGACAATTAGTTTAGAAGGTGGATTCTGAATAGTAATGTTTATTCAGCACTGGTATGCTAAATAGTTCCTGTTTGTAGAGTTTTTTCCCTGATATTTGGAGGATAGATTTTCGATGACTTTTCTCCTCTGTTCCATACGAGTTTGCAGAAGAGATGTAATGGTATACAATCAAAGAACCATCATTGCATACAATCGAAGAACCGTCGTTTAGTTTCAAACGAGATGCAATGGTGTTCTTACTATTAATAGGTTTAGGGTTTCGAATAAATCAAAGAGAAAAGTGACCATCGTTCTTCAATTTATTGGAGGAGAGGGACCATCGTTCGTCATTCACTGATGGAGAGGATGTGCAAATGAGGTGGGTGTCCATAACTTGGGTGATGATATTATGAATAGAGGTAAATTTGGTGTTAAATGGGGTGTAAAAAGAGAAATTATTAAAATTTTGATTTTAGAGTGGGGGTTCAAAGAATTTGAGGGTTCACAAAATAAAGGTAGGTACTAATAGCAAACCTCTATTTTAAAGGGTTGCGTTGTGTAGACTGCCCAAACGTCTCGGCTCCGCGTGCGAGTGCGTGAAATCGTTTTGTTTATTAGCTACTACAGTTCGGACTCATGTCACAGTTCTGAATCTAATCTTGCAAAGTGCAATGCAAGATTGATAAATCACCAAAGAGTCCAAATCCGGCAAATC